ACTGAAACCATATCAGACTTATTTCAAAAGTAGGTTGATTAGATATTTGAATAAGTCAATGAAATTTACCATATTTAAAGAATTAGAAAAAAATCATCTCGATAGAAGCAGGAGAAAAACAGGTAGTGAAGTTCAATATGCATTTATTATTTTAAAGAAACGTAGCAAATTAGGAATCAAAAGGAATTTCCTTAATATGCCAGAATATCTGCAAAAAATATATGGCAAACATTATAATGGTGAAATATTGAAAGCTTTCTTCCAGAAGTCAGTAATGAAGCAAGGATCCTTGCTACCACTTCTGCTTAGCAGTGTACCAGAGATCCTCGCCAATGTAATAAGTGAGGAGGTAAGAAATAAAACTCATTATTTGCAGGTATGATTGTGTACATATAAAGTTCATATAAGATAAACTATTAAATGAATTTAGCAAGGTTGCTGGATACAGAATCAATATATAAGAAACTATTTTTTACACCAGCAATAAACAACTTGAAAATAAAATTTAAAAAATACAGATTACAGAAGCACCAAAACATCAAATATATAGGTTTGTGAAAAACTATAAAACATTGTTGAGAGAAATTAAGGGAGTGAAAGGTCATATTCATGAATTGAAAGACTCAATATTATTCAGTTCTTTACCAAGTGACCCATACATTTAATAAAATCCTAATCAAAATTAGCAGGTTTGTTGTGGGAATTGACAAGCTGATTCTAAAATTTATGTGAAAATGCAAAGGTCGAATAATAGCCACTGGATATCAACACTTCTTTTAAAGTTACAATAATTAAAACAATTTGATGTTGGCCAAGGAAAAATTATAGAACAAAATAGGAAGTCCAGAAATAGACTGACAAATGCACAGATACTTGATTTATGATATAATTGGCACTGCACAGTAGTGGGGGAGAGGCAGTTTTTAAAAAATGGTCTACTGTCTCTCACTCTAGATCTTGACCCTTCTTAATAGCATACACAAAAATAAATTCTAGGTGAATAATGCACTCAAATGTGAAAGATGAAACAAAGCTTCTAGAAAGTGACAGGCAAATATCTTCATTATGGTGTAAACAAAGATATCTTTATAGGTAACAAAACCAACAAAACTAAATTAAAATTAGGAACTTATGCTTAGATCAATTTGTAGACTCATCTTGGCTTTGAAAAATCCCTTCTACTTTGGTAGAGTTTTACCATTTGGACTGTGGGGATCAGATCCCCCTCTGAGTGGGTGGGATAGAAGCTTTCATCTGGAAGGAAAAAAAATATTCCTACTCCCAGTTATCCTAAGGCAGAAAATGAATAGACTTTGGAATTAAGAGTGAATAAGTGGGAGCAAAAGAGCCTCTGAATCTTTGGGGCCAAGAGGTTGGGGAACTGGATTTAGAGGTATAAAGATTCTTGAAAAGTTTTGTTGATAGAAGTTTAAGAATTGAAAGACAAAACAAATATTTGCAATATAAAATATAGTTGCCAAAAGATTCATATCCAGAATATATGAAAAATGTATGTAAGTCATTAAGAAAAATACAATCCAACAGAAAAATGGGCAAAACATTTGAGACTTGATCCACAAAAGAGAATATCCAATGCCCAATGGACATATGAAAAGGTCCTCTATCTCACTGGTCACCAGAGAATTACAAATTAAAACTACAATGAGATGCCATTACACATCCCCAGAATGGCAAAAAATAAGAAGCCCTAACAATTCCATGTGTTTGTCAATGTGAAGCAAGTGGAACTCATATATATATATATATATATATATATATATATATATATATATGTTTCTGGTGAGAATAGATAGATATGTTGCTATTTGGATAACTATGTTTGTTTCTACTGCATATGCATACCCAGCAATTCCACTCTTTCCTTTGAAGAGAAGGATGGTGTCTGAGGAGGGCAAGATGGTAGCTTCTAGGATGTTTTATTTCTTGATCTGAGCAGAGTTACATGAGTGTGTTTACTTGGTAATAATTCATTGATAATACATTTACAATTTGTTCACTTATTTAAGTTACATTCTAATAAAAGGGTTATTTTTAAAAAGTAACTGAAACATAACTACTTCAGCTTTTTATTCATAGCCATTAATGATGCTGTAAAAAATATTATAGAACCTAAAGGCACATTTTCTAGAACTTTCTGGGTATACTACAACTTCTAGCTTGTATTGCTTGTTAATAATTAACATAATTTGACCTCAAAGCATAAGAACTATTGTAGTAATTCCTGTAGATGGATTAAAACATGTATATATAATATTTTTATATTAATAATATATTTTTTCCTGTTATGCTTTCATTATACTTGCTGTAAGTACTCCAAACATTATAGAAATATGCAGTGTAATATAACCAGAAATACATAGTGTAGTGTCTTCCTGCTTTATTGGCTTGGGCTATGAAAGGTCAGCTTTTAAACAAATATTAAAACTGTAACAACTCCAATCCAACACCTTGAATTCCCCCTAAACCTAAGGTTTTAGTGGTTAATAAAATTTTACTGCATGCTTGGGGGATAACCACAGTATACCTCCAAAGTGATTTACTTTGCCATTGGCAATGATTTTTCTTAGGTTCAACAGCCCCAAATTTAATATCAGGGACCCTCTGGAGTTTCTGTCAGGCTCCAGATGTTGAGGTCAACTTAATGCCCACCAATAAAACTCTCCGAGAACTTTTATGCTCCAAATCCAGACTCAGAAAAGCTCTTTCTGCCCTATCCCGTCAGTCCTGATTTCAAGACCCATTCATTTTTCTGCCTTAAAATGATTGAGATGGGACCAGAAGGTTAGTCACAGTAGAGTGGGTTTCTCATATCTCAAGTTAGTGCATTTTAGTATCACCACATAGGAACACTATCTAAATGTACACATAGGAAAGTACATCTCCAGAGCTTCAAGAGCCCAGCACAGCCAACTCCATATCCAGGTACTAAACGGAACTCCTAATAAGGATAGCTAACACTCATGGAGCATTTACTCTGTGCCAGATACTATTTTAATGATTTCGTATTAGATCTACACAAAAATTCTATGAGGTAGATGCAAACATTATTATCATGAGTTGAGGCATGGAGAAACCCAATGCGAATCCACCCAGGTAGAGGAAGGTAAAACCCAATGTGAATCCAACCAGGTAGAGTATTGAACATGGGCGAACATTGGCACCTGTTCTATTGAACACTTCGCTGCAATTGCAAAATCAGTTGCTCAGATTGTAATTTCGGAATTTGGATTTTCTGTGACTTCACATGTTCCTTCAAGATCAACTAATGAATTAATAAATTTACTTTGTATAACAAAAGAGCCTATTCCGGATAAATTTCCTCAAACAAACTGAACTTCTCAGAGTATAATGGATGTATCTACTATCAGAAGCCCAAACTATCCAGCAATCTCCTAAAAAGCAGATCACTTAAAATTTTAAAAGTGAAAAATCCCAATAATCCTGCCCCTCAGAGCTGAACCCTGTTAATAGTCATGTCACAAATTTTAATTGACATAGCTTCCAAAACGCTTCCTTACTCTTGGAAAATCCATGCTTTTCATGCTTAAATATGCAGCATGTTTAATACCAATGTGGCCCTTCATAGCATGAGCAGAGGTTAGAAACACCTGCACAAACATGTAGAGTTTAGGGAGTAAGCCTTTCCTTACTTAGAGAGTAAGCTCCTTTCTGAGCTAGTGGGTAAGGATTAATGGGCTAGTAGGTAATAATGTTGCCTGAATGTTGGACTAGGCCAGCCCCAGAACCTGATCTGAAGTTTGCTTTATTAGTTTGCCAGACCCTCAAGCTTGGTACAGGTTTAAAGATGAGCAATAACGACAACTTGGCCCTAGTATAAGGTTGCTTTTACTCAGTTACCTGACAAACCAGCAAATGAGCAACGAAACGTGTGTGTGTGTGTGTGTGTGTGTGTGTGTGTGTGTGTGTGTGTGTAGAGCTCCCAATGTCTCCTTTGCTCTCCATGGAAGGGTGCGAAAAGTTCAGAAGTCAATGCACACGTTTCCAGTTAAGTATTACCACAAGACTCTGCCTCACAGGGTCTTATTATCCTAGCATAGATGCCCAATTAGCATTCAAGGGTTTATCTTATCATTTGTTCAAGTCAGTAAATATTTATTGAGCACTTACTGTGCACTGTCCTGGGCATGTGAGATACATCAGTGAACAAGGCTCCAGACATTGCTGAGCTTACATCCCAGCAGCTGAAAGCAGACAATCAACATAATTAATAAACCAATTCTACAATACATTAGACAGTGATAAGTGTTTTGGGAGGGGAAAATAGATCAAGGTACAGCGAAAAAAAGGAGTTGATGAGAAAGAGTTTCAGTTTTAAATGGTGACCAGAATGGCAGGGTAAGCCTTATATTTGTGTGACCTGTGCAGTTGCCCAGGGCTCACTAGCCTCCAGAAGAGGCTATACTTGGTTTAATGCCCTGCTGTCACCGTCTTGAAATTCTTGATAATTTTATCTTTGAAATTGTGTTCTGCTAAATGAAGTCTGATGGGACAATGGAGCATGTAAGCAAGCAGAGGAGATATGCACAGTATGCATGTCTGCCATGTTGGTTGACATTCTAATTGAAACTACATTGGTATATTCATTTGGAGGAGATTGGTATTTTTATAATATTAAGTTATTTCTATCATAAAACATAGTGTATCTTTTCATCTGGTTTTATGTTCTTTGGTGATATTGTTTAGATTTTTTTAAATTTAAGGTAAGCACATTTTAAATTTATTTGAATTTAAATTCTCTTTGGGGCTGGGTACGGTGGCTCACACCTGTAATTCCAGCATTTTTGGAGACTGAAGTAGGTGGATCACCTGAGGTCAGGAGTTCGAAACCAGCCTGGCCAACATGGTGAAACCCTGTCTCTATTAAAAATACAAAAATTAGCCAGCACGGTAGTGTACACACCTGTAGTCCCAGTGGCTCAGGAGGCTGAGGCAGGAGAATGGCTTGAACTCAGGAGGTGGAGGTTGCAGTGAGCGGGGATCACACTGCTGCACTCCAGCCTGGGTGACTGAGTGAGCGAGACTCTGTCTCAAAAAAAAAAAAAAATTAATAAATAAATTCCATTTGGGTTTATTCTTAGGATTTTGGGAAACAGTTGTTTCAATGCAAGCCCCATCTTTTTCATATTAAAAACAAGCATTTTGTCCTTTGACATATAATCATAGGGGAAGAAAGAGAGTTTTAGAGAAATATACAATGAGAAACAAAGCAGTCTATTGTTTCCTGGCATGTTGTCTTTCTAACTGACCTTTGCTTGCAAGTTTATTTTTATCACTGAAAACCTTTCAGAGGAAAAGGGATCAGTGAGTTTCATAGAGTAGCAATGGATGAGACAAGGTCAGTACTGGCCATGAGAACAGACTGCCTTGTGTGGTTACTTCTTCTTATAGCTGTGGTTGTCAACAAGACCAAAGAGAAGTAACCAGAGGTCACTGGCCTTGTGGCCTCTTGGGTGGGGTCTACATATGTACTTTTGACACTGATGGCCGGTGAGGAGTGAATGCTAAGAGCAGCACAAGCAGGGGCCACAAGAGCTGATGTGATGTATGGTCCAGACCTGATTTGTGCAAACCAGAGGAAATGGAGCTCATGCCAGATCAAGGCTGTAAACCTTCTTGTAACCCACAACAGACACATTTACTTGGCAGAAATATTTTGCATCGGCAGTGTGAAATGTGCCAAGGCACAGAGATGGGAAAGCTAGATGAAAAATAAGAGCAACAGCATCATGGCAGAAAGACGTGGACATTCTAGACTAAAATGAAGTGGATACAGAAATGCTTAGTATACTGCTACAGCCCTCCAGCATAGTGATTCACAAAAGCAATCAGCCAGGCTAGGACATGCAGGGATAACGAGAGGAGGAGAGGCACAGAGAGGAAGCCCAAGATTAGGTCTGAGACTTGACTATCCACTCTGGGCTAGGAGAAAATACCTAGCATTAGAGAAAATGTATGGAATACAGTGTTTTAGTGGTGCCTAAACCAATCACTTTAGTGAATCCACCTGTCATTTACTCATACAGATATTCTTACCAATTCCTTTGTTTACTGTGGTCAAAATCTTCATTCGGATGTTAGAATAGAAACAAAGAAGTGTTCCATACCCAACAAACTTTCAAGCCATAATATTGATTCCAACCAGGACATTTAATTATCAGGCCCCAGTTTTGTAGACCACTGCAGATTTAAGGGTATGGAGAGGTAGAATGGGAGGGTGTTGTTCAGATCCAGGAATTGCAACACTACTCTTAAGTATTTATTGTTCAGCTGAACATTGAGTGAACCACAGGCAGGGAAAGAATTAAGTATGTCAAACTGCATATGTGAAATAACAGAGAAAGAAATGTTACCAGCATATTTTCAAACAAAAGACATGAAAATGGCAGCTCTTCTGGGTATGGAAAAAAATTTCCTTTTCCTACATATTGACAGCCAGAGGGGGTTATTATTGAGAATATGGGTAAAGTTGCCACCAGTTTCTGCTGGTACTCATGTTTAAAAAGAAACTATGGAAACCAGGAGAAGGAATATTAATTAAGTTCAAATTTGGAATGTCTTTGCCAGGAGCAGATGAATGAATTCAGTGAAGCAAACTGTTGGGTTGTAATTCAGTGTTTTGTTAGTATTTTAATAGAATGCTGAACTTTTCAGAAATTAATACTTTGTTTTAATAATCTTATTAAAAGGTTATTTCTTGATAAGATTAGTCCTGGAATGTGATTTTTTTTTTAATTTAAAGAACCAGTATATATTTTCTTTCTTTTTCACAATTTTAAATATTCTTATTGGTTATGACTAAAAAATATTTAATACATTTAAAAATATTAATACATTTACATGTTAATAAAAAGCACAAGAAAATAATAGACAAGTGAAATGTCTTTCCCCCTCCAAACTTTCAGTTTCCTTCTACCTCTAGATGAAGAAACCTGTTATCGGTTTGTTGTGGATACTTTAGAGATATTATTTGCACTTAACTATTGGCCTACAAGGGCCTCAACCATTTCAAGGCCCTTTGATGATTATGTCTTTTGAGTTTTATTTGCTAAGAACACATGCTTTTTAAAAGAATATTTTCTAATAGTGAAAGTAATATGGATGCCTGGAGAGGGTAATGCTAATGAGAAAATACAAAATGGGGAAATTATTCACCTGAATAAACCTGGAGAGTTTACAAGTAAAGCTTCACTGGTCACTGCAGGGTTTAAAGGAAGTTTCCACTTTACAATGTAAATATGTTGTGGTCGTCTTAGTTCTTAGACTAATTTGCTTCTTTCTGGTGGGGAGGATAGCAATGTTGAGAAAACACTGACTAAACTGAAAATCAGCTCCATTTAAATGTGAAGCTGCGTTCTAAACACAAACATAGTCTGCTGAAGGGCTCTGAACATTAAGCTGCATGCCTTGCTGAGTTTTATTCCAAATAGACAACAGCAGATGGTAACAATGCACTTCTCATAGATGGTAGGAGGGAGGCAGTCTTGTTTCAAGTAATACTATTTCTGGGCGATAATCCAAAATGCGCAGTAGGCAGAAGTTAAAAGGAAGCGCTTGCTTTTAGGTTTTAAAAATATATCCCTTAATCCTGGGTGATGATTGACAATCATGATTTAGAGTATGAGGGGCCGCTCTTTAATCCGGCAAGTTTGATGTTATTTGCGTATCTAGTAGGGCTTTTATTCAACTAAAACTAAGTGGAAGCCTGTGCAATTGATGCCGCATTTCAGAATTGATTCTTGGCCTGGTACTCTATTTACAGATTAGTAAGTACACAGGATCTGTCCTCCTCCTCATCTTTTTGAAATTTAAAGGTTCTAAAAGGCACATTTACAATTAAAGTATTTCTTGCTGTGTAAGAGTATGACTAGGAGATGACTGTTTTCTGTATAATTTAATTTCTTGAGAAAAGAAGCAGTCTATAAGATTATATTAATCCTGATTTGATTATCAAACTATGATATTAGCTATTGGTATTTATAAATGATTAAAATGTTGTCATTATTGACTTCATGTGGTTTGTTTGTTATAAGTTCTTTGGAGAAATTTTAATGAATTACCTCAAAGTCTCTTGCTCCTATTAGGTTTCTAGCAAAGCTTTTCTAAGGAGTAGATCAATGTTAAGCCATTTTATTACAATTGTTTTATCAGCTGTGACAATAATTTGATCACACATTAAAATAAAATTAGTTAAATCATAAACTCCAAAACAAGATATCATTAAGAAAGGAAAATATACAGGAATGAAAGTTAACAGACAAATTTTACAGCAATTAACAGAAGTGATTTTTTTTTTTTTTTTGAGGCACTTAAGCTCTGCGGTCAGTGTCTTTGTCACAGTTTCTTTCGACAAAACGAAATAGACTACATGTGAAGCCCAAGTGATATAGTGTCTTTCCTGTATTCTCATGATGTTTTAAATTATGTAGTTTTTGGAAAATGTTTAAGAAGTTAAATGCATTCATTACAGAAAAATTTGGAAAATACAGAAAAGTATGAAAAGAAAATAAACATTACCTTCATTCCCAACAGTCACTATTGTGCATCGTCTTCTATTTATTTTTCTTATATTTTGTTGCAAGGATTTAGATTTCAGGGCTAAAATGTACTTCCCAGGAGACATCCTGGCTGCTAGGAGTGTGTAGAAGCATTCAAAATGGGTTCCTCTGGAGTTGACGTGAGTGACACAACCTGCTATAAGTTTGGTCTGTGTTTTGTAAGCTGCGTCAGCAGAGCTTTCTATTAAAACCCCAGTGATGGGATCCTTTGTGTTTAGAATATACTCTAACCTAGTAAGTGCATGTTGATAATACCTCTTTCTGTTAACATTTCAAAAGCCCATTTTGCTGTAGTATCATGCATTTGATATTTAAAAGCTAATAAATCCAAGTGATAGTAAGAAAATGTTATTGATATATTCATTGCAAAATGTTCTTCAAACCAAATTTTGTTTTTGCCTTTGTACTCACAGTTTCGTGCCAGTAAATGACTGGGTGATTGCTACAGTGAAAACACTGCTTGCCTCAGCTTTGCTTAATTAATTCATAATGACAACATAGGTAATTCATTAAATCTTAATGAAGATTGGATATAGAGGAGTATAGTAGTTGGATCTAAATCTACAGCTCAAAAATCAAATCCCAACCCCTTAGACTGCCAAATCCAGAAAAAAGTCAAGGCCCTTTCTCTCCAGCCAGCGATGGCCATCATCCTAGAAACCTACACTGTTGCATGGTTTTTCCTTTGCCTAGAATGCTCTTCTCCTACCTACTTCCCACCCTCAGGTCTCACACTGCAGCTCTTCCTTCCAGAAACTGCTCAAGTGTCTCCATGAAGCTTTTGGCTACTACCCCCTCCCCAAGGTCCTGGCCCCTTCCTCTCCACTGCCAGGGCACTACACACACACACCCCTCCACACAGCTCTCATCACCTCTGGTTTCCATGATTTGTTTACTGTCTGTCTCCTCCTTACCTGTGAGCTCTCACAGTCTAGCACAGCATTAAAAAATGGTTTATTGACTGAATGACTTACTAAAATAGATGAATAAACAAACAGATGGTTGAATTTGCTCATGAGATAAGGGTACCCACCACCCAGCATGTGTCTAGCACATAGTACACATAGGAGCAATGACCATGTCTGATGCTATTACTTTTACTGAATAGTTACCAGACATTGCATTCAGTGCTTTAATGAATTACTCATTTATGGTCATCTTATTGCTATCCATATTTTACAGAAGAGGTAACAACCAATAGCTCACAGGGCTGGCACTCAAACCCATGCTGTCTTATTCCAAAGCCTATGTACTTGGCAATATTAAATATTCTACTGCCTTTTTCTACAGGAGGCAGTCAATACTTGAATGAATGAGTGATGAATGCTTCCCCTCTATGAAAGAAGCTATGGTAAGTAAGAAGTTACAGTAAGCACCTACCACCATAGCAAGTGCTCAATAAATGGCAGTGCTATTGGCTTTGTTATTTTATCGTATGGTCTCCCTCAGAACAACCAGTCCAAATAGCATCATTGAAAATCAGACATGGTATTAGGGCTAGATTGAGATATGTAAGCACCAAGTATGTTGAGAATCATGGTTCAACATTTATTTAGTGAGAAGTGATCAATACTAGCAAGGATGTTTTGTCTTGCTTTTTTTTTTTTTTTTTCTTTCTTGAGAAGGAGTCTCACTCTGTCACCCGGGCTAGAGTGCAGTGGCACAATCTCACCTCACTGCAAGCTCTGCCTCCCGGGTTCACGCCATTCTCCTGCCTCAGCCTACCGAGTAGCTGGGACTACAGGTGCCCGCCACCACGCCTGGCTAATTTTTTGGTATTTTTAGTAGAGACGGGGTTTCACCATGTTAGCCAGGATGGTCTTGATCTCCTGACCTCGTGATCCACCCACCTTGGCCTCTCAAAAGTGCTGGGATTACAGGCTTGAGCCACCGTGCCTGGCCTGTTTTCCTTTCTTTTCCCTTCTCCATTTTAATCTCTTCTGAAAGGTGATCTACTTTAGTAGAAATGGGACCATGTTATATTTTGTCCTTTGTGTTAGGATGCATAAAGAACTGAGTTCACTGGCAACATATTTCCATGGTTTTTTTTGTGTTTTTTTTTAGCATTTCTAATATATAAGTGCCACAGGCATTTGTCTGATTGAACTACCCTATAATCTGGCCTTGAATAAAAAATGATATTATGACAAGTGCCAAAAAATGTCTCAAATGCCAGGTGATCTACTTGGCTCAGAGATTCTCAGCCCTAGTTTTGAATCAGCCCATTTGGGGAATTTAAAAAATCTTCAGATTCCCAGCACCCAATAGAGTTTCTGATTAAGGAGAACTGGAGGGTTGTGGTTGACACATGTACTTTAAAGTAACTCAGTCCTATGAATCGGGATGAGAAGACTGTGTCCAGAACTAAGGAGACAAAGTACATAGAGGCCTCTTCTGTGTCTGGCATATAAATATAAATACAAACCTTCCTTACCTTGAAACCCCCTAAGTAGGATGGCAGATAGAAAAAGACAGTAAGGATTTATTTCCAGCCTTGTCTGGGGGAGAGAGGAATCTGACTGGGGCTATGCAAATCATTTGCACAGACATAATTCAGTGGTTTCACAAATTTGGCTTTTTTTTTGAATCACCTGTGGTAGTTTAAAAATGCCACAAAAACCATAATCTGAGTTCATTGGCAACACATTTCTGTAGTATTTTTAGCATCCCTAAGATATTGATGCCACGGGCTCCCATCTCTGGGGATTCTGATCCAATTGATTGGGGGCGTGGCCCAGGTATCAGGAGTCTTGAAAGCTCCCAGGTGATTCTAATGTGCAGAAGAGTTTAAGAACCACTGGTCTGGTTGAAGAGACTGCATTAGACCTGGAATAACTGACTCTTTTTGGCAATTTCCTTTCAACAAAGGTATCCTCTTGGATTGCTCTTTCTGCCACTCTCGAAGCCTAACTCTCAGTAAGCAGGCCTCTGTTTCAAAGGCAAGAAGAAGGGAGTGCAGTGAGTATGGCTAAAATGTTGGACTCTCTGGTTTCCTAGAAGTTCTAGATGGGACCTCTGGGAGATTTTGTGGAGGCACTTTTTTTAATGTACCTTTGCTCCATCCTTATTCTCACAAAGAGAGCTCCTGACTTTGTAAGCTCCTGACTTTGTTAGGCTGACCAAGAGGAGTAGTCCGTTTGACAGTCAGAGATCTCAGTAAAAGGGAGTACAGCAGGGTTATGACTTATGTGGTATATTAGTATGAGCCAGCTCACAAGGGCCTGATCACCCTCTGGTGCAATAGTAAAACTCTGGTTCAGAGCCTGCAAAACTGAGAACCACACCTTGCTTTCTCAGTGATCCTAACAAATTGCTATCCTATGAGGCTTGTCAAGAAAAGGACAGCCATCTCAGATCATCTCTTCTAGAGAATGACCTGGGAACCATCTCCAAAGCATTTACTATGTTAAATAAATCAGGGCACTTTACTCCCTTAGCTGAATGCTAAAAGTTATAGACAGGGATTTGGTCAGACCTAAGAAGGAAAACAGCCTGCCATCATGGAGAGAAAAAAGAAATAACTGAACGGTCTATTTGCCACCAACATGAACACCAGTCAAAGGATGGTGTGTCTGAGAGGGAAACCATGAGACAGAATGATTCTAAACCAAATGCAGGTGTCTGAATGACCTCATTGCTGAACTCATGAAGCTCACTAATTAAGATGACATCCACCTCTGCAGGGAGTAATTTCTTTTTTTTCTTTCTTTTTTTTTTTTTATTTTTGAGATAGAGTCTTGCTCCGTTGCCCAGGCTGGAGTATAGTGGCGCAATCTCGGCTCACTGCCAGTTCCACCTCCTGGGTTCACACCATTCTCCTGCCTCAGCTTCCCGAGTAGCTGGGACTACAGACGCCCGCCACCACGCCTGGTTGATTTTTGTATTTTGTTTAGTAGAGACGGGGTTTCACCGTGTTAGCCAGGATGGTCTCGATCTCCTGACCTCGTGATCTGCCTGCCTTGGCCTCCCAAAGTGCTGGGATTACAGGCGTGAGACACCACACCCTGCCTGCAGGGAGTAATTTCAACAAAGGAGTCTTCTCTTCTCTAACTCTAACTCTTTTCTTCATTGATCATGTAGCCTGCCTAAATGTCCCACTACTAAGACTTTGTTATGATATAAAATACAAATATTTTGGGAAAGGGTAATATAATAAGCCTTCTTATCAATGTATGTATAGTGATTTCCAACCCTGGCTGCATGTTAGAATCACTTGGAAGAGAGGAGTTGTTTTTGTTTGTTAGTTTTTAAATGCCAATGCTAAAGCTTGACTGTCAGAGATTCTGATTTAACTAGTTTAGGGTGGAGAACAACAACAAATTGTTGTTGTTGTTGTTTTTAGGTGATTTTTAATATGCAGCCAAAGTTGGGACCCATTGGTCTAGAGTGTGAAAAACATCATATTCTTCCTGGAGGTCAGATTTTGGCTGGGAAGGAAAGAAAACTCAGTCTTTAGCCAAAAGGAGATAGGAAGAAGTACCTGGGATTTTTATAAGAGATGGGGAAAGTGGAGATTAGGAAGAGAGGTAATGCTGAAAATAAACTTTTATTTGTCAGTTTTGCCTAGGGCTGGCTCGACTCAGGACATAATAGTGATAAGAAGCAAGGAGGAGAATGAGCTTATGAGAAAAGTGCATCTTCGTGAATACATTTTTTTTTTCTTTTTTGAGAGAGAGTCTCGTTCTGTCGCCCAGGCTGGAGTGCAGTAGTGTGATCTCAGCTCACTGGGACATCCACTTCTGGGTTCAAGGGATTGTCCTGCCTCAGCCTCCTGAATAGCTGGGATTACAGGCACTCGCCACCATGCCCAGCTAATTTTTGTGTTTTTGGTAGAGATGAGGTTTCCAGGTTGGCCAGGCTGGTCTCAAACTCCTGACCTCAGGTGATCTGCCTCCTTCGGCCTCCCAAAGTGCTGGGATTACAGGAGTGACCCACTGCTCCCAGCCATGAATACATATTTAAATCTGTCTCAATAAGTACTCTTTTAATTATTCTTTGAGTTTCCAGCGCTGGAAACTGACCACCTTCAACTACAGCAGTTTTAGTTCCTATAGCACTTGTTCTTCCTGGATAACTCTAAAATAAAAATTTTAGCAAAATGGAGAATTAAAATATGTCTCTGGGAGAGTGGTGAGCATTCTGCTTACGGATCTCTCAGGATAGTTTATGTAAGAACCTTTAAGTGTGCTCTCAGAGAAATAAGTCTCAATCTATTATTGTGAAATGACTATGTAAACATCTGTCTTTTTTTAAAAAAAAAAAATTCCAGTTATATCTTGTTTTTGTTTACTTCTCCATTGTTTGCTGGCAAAACAGCTTGCCCCTGGCCCTGTTGTCTTGTTACTTTGCTTGGCGTGAAGAATTTTAATGAGTTTTGTTGGTTGCTCTCCTGACTTTTGTTCAGAACCATTTCTCAGGGCTGCTGTTGTACATCTGTTCCTCGGCCTCTGAGAGGCAGTGTGGCATCATGCATCGAGCTTGTGCGGCCTGGGTTTGAATCTCGGATCTTTGACCTTGGGCAAACTTTATTGGATTTCTATTTCCTCATCCGTAAAATGGGAATGATACTAACACTCACAGAATCGTTAAGAATTGAATGAGAATACATGTGAAAATTACTCTGTCAACCATAGCATGCTGTGCAAGGGATTTTTCTCCCCCTTCATTGGCCCATCCCACAGGGAAGAACTGTTAAAAGTTCTTCAGAAGCACATGAAAAAAGCCTGGATTGTTTGGGGATATTTTTACGGCATCAGCTCCCGGTCTGTGCATCATTTCAGAACAGAATTACTGAGATCATTGTCTAGCCTGCCTGAGGTCACAGCTCAAGGGTCATTGGCACCAGCCTCTGGGAACATCATCCATTGGATGCTCTGCCCCAGAATCTGGCATCAGATTTGTATGGGCTACTGGGTTTTGTTGATCTGACTTTAGGTAGGGCTCTAGATTAAGTCACTCTAGCTTGTGATAATCAGACAGGGAGCTGTGTAGATTTTGAGGATGTCAGACTAGAGTTTCCTCTTAGAATCAACATCTTAACTGTAGTCTACCTGTCTCTCAGCCGTTAAAGGACCCCATTCTTGATATATAACTCCCTGGGGATGTGAGAGTCTACCAAGGCTTCAATACAAAGCAAACTTCAAGCAAGAGCTTTATTGTTAGGATTTGAGGTTGTTCATCAGTATTATATGATGGAATCTAACACGTAAATACGATTCAGGAGGAAACGAGTTTATATTTTCCCATTCGAAGGCTTTCCTAGTGTTGATCTGAAACAGCAGTGATTCTCAAAGTATGATGCCCAGGCCAGCAGTATCAGCATCAACATCAGCACCAACATCAAGATAATGTGTTAGAAATGCAAATAAATCACTGGCCCCACCCCCAGATCTCTTGAATTACAAACACTGAGGGTGAGGCTCAGCTATCTCTGTTCAGCAAACCGTCCAGGTGATGCTGATGCTTATTAAAGTTTGAGAACCACTGATCTAGAAGCTGTGGCCACCTGTGTTTTCTCTTGGTTCTTTAGAAGTAGAGATGATGATCTTCAGGGTATTCTCTCAGGTACCTTCGTTGTAGTCACCCCCTTGGGGAATTGAGCTTTATTTGAAATGTATTGGTTGCTGTCTACTATATTGATAAAAAGTTGTAAACTACTTGAATTTGCAAACTGTGTCTTTTCTTAGAGTATGCCTCAATTCTTTTAATCTAGTAAATCCCAGGACAAAACTTTCAGCCTGGTTGGTAGTAGTGGGAGAGGAAGACAGGATTAGGAGGAAAAAGTGAGGCATTGTCTGGAATTCTGTAGTTCACAAATGAATCCACTGAGGAGTGGGAGGATGATTGGGATGCCAGAGAAGTAAGAAGTTGTGGGTCCTGTTTACCTGGATAGTTGGCTGTGACAAAGCACGGGTTTGATTAGAGTCATAAATTGTTTTTTTAGGCCAGGCATGGTGGCTCAGGCCTGTAATCCCAGCACTTTGAGAGACTGAGGCAGGTGGATCACCAGAGGTCAGGAGTTTGAGACCAGTCTGGCCAACATGGTGAAACCCTGTGTCTGCTAAAAATACAAAAATTAGCTGGGCATGGTGGCACGCACCTGTAATCCCAACTACTTGGGAGGCTGAGGCAGGAGAACCACTTGAACTGGGAGGGACAGAGCGAGACTCTGTTTCAAAAAAGAAAAAATTTTTTTAAGTTAGTTAATTTATTTTTATTATAAATGGATCTAATTTATAGTTGTATATATGCAGTACAAAGTAATGTCGTGATTTGTGAATACAATGTGGAATCATTAAGCGAAACTAAGTAACATATCCAGCACTTCAAATACTTATTATTTTTGTGATGAGAACATTTGAAATTTACTCTGAGTAATTTTGAAATTCACCACACTGTGCAATAACTCTCAAAAGAAAATAACTTATTCATCATATCTAACTGAGGCTTTGTGCCCTTTGACCATTAGCTCCACATTTCCCCCATCCCATCACCCCTGGTAACCACAATTCTACTCTCTGCTTCTATGAGTTTGATTGTTTTAGATCCATGTGTAAGTGAGAACATGTGGCATTTAGCTTTCTGTGCCTGGCTCTTTTCATTTAGCATAATGTTCTCCAGTTTCATCTATTTTGTTGCAAATGATAACATTTCTCTTTTTTAAGGCTGAATAACATTGCATGGTCTGTATATGCTACATTTTCTTTATCCATTCATCTGTTGACAGACACTTAGGTTGATTCCATAACGTGGCTATTGTGAGTAGTGCTACAGTGAATATGGGATGCAGGCATCTCTTCCACATACTGATTTAAAATCTTTTGGGTAAATGCTGGATCGCATGATTATTTTATTTTTAATTTTTTTGAGGAATATCTATACAGTTTTCCATGATGGCTTTAGCAGTTTACATTCCTACCAATAGAGTCATAATTTTGATTCAGTTCCAAGGTTTAGAC